TTTCCCTTTTAATTTTTAAAACTTCAGCCAGTTTCTTTTGTATATCCAGTAAAGTGTCCTTTTCCAAATCATTATCTTGGCCTGTCATTTGTAGTTCCTTTTTCGATACTTTCTTTGCCTTGTCAGATAAAATTTGTTCCACATCTGTCATTCCTTCATTAGCATATTTTAGAAACAGTCTATCCATAGAAGCAGACATCATTACTAACAGTGTTGATATTATAGTTACTAATTTCTGGCTCAATTCTTCAAAAATCTCCTTTAATATTTCCGATATTATAACGTTTTGTGTCATTTTGTAAGTCCCAGTATGAACTGATATCAAGAACAGGCTTGTATTTTTTTTCTTCTACTTAAAATCTTTAGTCCCTTCTAGTGTCCAATTTCTAAAATCATCACTTATCTTTTGTTGTGACTTGCAGTAGCCAGGATAGGCAAAATAAATCTGTTTCCCACAAGAAGCTGTTTATTTTTTACAGTTAATTCCAAAATCTTATAGTAAAAGTCAATATGCCAAATTTATCTGGACCCTTAATCTGTTTATAACTTTCTTAGATCAAAATCTTATTTAGGTTCTTGCTATTTATTTCAAATTCTTTAGTTGTTAAGCTTATAATTAATTTTTCTTTCATTCAAATCATCAAAGTTGAAGATAAACTCACCTGATGAAGACTTTTCAAACTTCTCATTCCAAAGGTCCCTTAAGCTTTAAGCTTTAAGAAGGTTGATAGGCAATTTCCAAAAGTGATTAGAAAGTGAGATTTGTGAATTTAGTGTCCTTTAAAAGGTTCCACCACGATTGTGAGCAAGATGGCTGATCCCATCATCTCCTGGCCCTCAAACCTGTGGAAAACCACTGTCCTGTGGTCTCCTCACAAGGAGCAGCCATCCGGAGCACTTGTGGGTGATCTCCTGTTCTCTCCTTATCCGGCGAAGTTCCAAGGAACCAGGCTACTCACTAGTTAGTCTTTGCTGCTGTTGTTGGCTCCGTGAACAGTTTGTCATACCTCCTCCAGAAGTCTGGAAGACCATGAGTTTGAGTTCTGCCTTAGGCATGAAGCCAGCTGGATGACTTTGGGCCAGTCCCCCTCTCTCAGCCCTTGGAAGGAGGCAATGACAAACCACCTCCAAAATCTTGCCAAGAAAACTGCAAGGACTTGTCCAGGCAGTTGCCAAGAGTCAACACTTGACTTGGAAGCACCAAATATATGTACTGTTACTTCAATACCACTATATATGAAAATGCACTAAATTGTACTTTTTGACTCTGAGGCCCTTAGGGTCATTTAAAGTATCAAAGTAACAGTAATTACATATTTTAATTTTGTGCATGGGTAACAATAGGAATCTCAGAAAAATCTCCAAGGTACATTGGCAAAGTTCTGCATTACTTTGGCAATGATTACAGCTTAGATGTGCACATACAAACACACACACAAGAGAACAGCCTATTTTAGGAAACTGTTTTCTTCTGCTGAGAATGTAATCTTCTATCAAAGAATGTAAATGTACACAATCTATTCAGTTTAGCTGACAATAAAAGTGTGTTCCTATCAGGGAAAAAGGCCTTTTATTTTTTAATTTTTGGTCCACATCATGGAGTTCAGCCTGTTTTTATTGTTCAACATAATTTCTGTCTCTGTTGTTCCATTTATACCTCAATATAGCTTGCTTTAAAAAGGGCACTCTTGATGCGTTGAATATTTTTGGCACTTTCAATGAGGTGAGATGTTTGCAAGCAAACAGACTCGAAATGTTCATAGCAATTCAGTTTTTTCTGTACATTAACTTGGAAGACAATCACCCCCTATTGTCAACCTTATTTTATTTTCCTTTTTGTAGTGGGAAAAATCAGAAGATGTTGTCTGCTCTCTCCTCAACATCCCCAGAATATGCCTCTTACGTTATCTCCCAAGAGCTCCAACAACAGGCACCGAAGGAGGAAGACGAGGAGGAAGAGCTGCTGCCCCACGCGTTACTGCCAGAAAGCATGGACCTGCTAGAGAAAGTAGAGAAGAAATACAAGAAGAAGAAGAAGAAGAAACAGCAGAAGAAACAGCGTTTACGTCAGTTCAATGACCTTTGGGTACGCATCGAAGAAAGGTAATGAGTAAGTAGAGGCAGGCAATACACTTCCGAGAAACAGCAGAAAGGGGGCCCCTTAAGAGGGACATTATTTGTTTGTTTATTGGGTTTGTGGCTGCTGCAATCTGAAAGATTCTCAGCGGTACTTCAGTACAAGCATAAAGAACAATACAATAAAACATCCATAGTATAATTAAAGCAGCTAAAAATAAAAGATTAACTCCAATTCTATATACAAGCCAATAAAACCGTGGAATCAATTCAAACTCCTAAGGTGCTCTGAAATAGTTCAGTTTTTAATGACTCACAGACAGACAGCAGTGTGGCGCTGTGATCAAAGTAGCCGGGGGAGGCTGTTCCATAATGCAGGCTCACCAACTGAAAAACAGCACCTGCAAGCTTCCAACCCACCTACCTTGCAAGAGGGGGGAACCATCAGTGGTTTCCCCTGAACATGCGTGTTAGATAGTTCAAAACTGGTTGCAGAAGATGATCCTGCGGGTGTCTGGGTGCCAAGCTAGATGGATTTATAGGTTAAGACCAGCTCTTGAAATTGCATTTGGAAGCCTATGGGAAGCTAGTGAAGGTCCAGGGCACTGGTGCCACATGCTTGTCTTGGAGTATATCAGACCAATACTCAAGTTGCTGCATTCTGGACCAATGGTAGTTTCTAGTTGGTTTTCTAAGGCAGCCTATTGTGGAGCATATTGCAGCAATCCAGACAAGTTATGTTGAGGTCACAAGTCACTGTTGCAAGGTTGTCTCACTTCAGATAGGGCTGCTACTGATGCATCAGCTGTCCATCCAGCAATAGCTATGAGTCCAGGAATATTTGTACTCTCAGTGGTAGTGCCATCCCACTGAGAGACAGCATTGGAATTCACAGAGTACTTCAGTGAACAGACAGTACGGTAACAAACATAAGAGAGAAACACAAGAATCCTGTAAACTTAGGCAAAAGGTTCATCTAGTCCAGCATTCTGTATCACACAGTAGCTCATCATGTGTACCTGGGAAGTTCACAATCAAGATAGCTGTTGCTCTCCAACAAATGCTATTTAAGAGATGCTACCTTTGATTCAAGAGGATATTTACATAATAAATAGCCACAAACACCAATAGCCACTGATAGCCATATCAGTGAATTTGTGTAGGCCTTTTTAGAACCATCTAAATTAACGACCATCACTATAACTCATGCAGTAAATTCTGTAATTTAATTAAGGATTGCAAGGAAGTAGTCTGTGGATGTGAATCTTCTAGTTTTTAGGTTCAACAACTGACACTGAACTCTTAAGACTGCAAGAGAAGGAGAAAAACTTTTTTGTCTATATTTTCCACATCATCCATACCCTAGTCATATCTTATTTTATCTAAAAGCCCAAATAGTTCTGTTCTAAGTCCTCAACCTTAAGCAAAAAAGATCAAAGCTATGGCTACAAAGAACAGGCCGTATAGCAACCAATTCAAGAAAAACACTATCATCTCAAAAGTGAAAACATTCTAGAGATTCCAATGGTCATTTATTGTGATAAATGGACATTTACAAATTTTAAAGAAAATTAGTAGTTGTAATAGTAGTATTGGCAGCAACAGCAGTGTTCATGCTCTGGTAATTTTTTGTTTCATTGTTAACACCTTGACTAAAGGTTGGATCCTTCATGGATCACTGTCGTGGCGAAGAGGCTTGCGTAACTCAGTGAAGCCATGAGCTATACCGTGCAGGGCCACCCAAGACGGACAGGTCATGACAGAGAGTTCTGACAAAATAGGTCCACTGGAAAAGGAAATGGCAACCCATTCCAGTATCCTTGCCAAGAAAACGCCATGGACAATATCAAAAGACTAAAAGATATGATGCTGGAAGATGAGCCCCTCAGGTCGGAAGGTGTCCAATATACTACTGGGGA